AACATATAAATAATTAAGTCATGATGCAATTATTTTTGAGGATTTTGGGAATTGAGTCAACAGCAAAATAATTTATGTCACATGTATAATTTACATAGATAAATACTTTGGCAAAAATAATATAGAAAGTAAAGATAAAATAAAATAAAAATATTCTAGAAATAATAAAGATGCAATAGATACAATAGATACCAAAGGTACAATAACAGATCTGTAATACAAAAATTTTCTAGAACAATTAACATTTCAAGAGTCAATGCTAGTGAAAATCGAACAAGGGGTATTGAAAATATTGAGTAAAAATCAAGTGTAACACTATTCATTTATTTGACTTGCTTTAGTAAAGGCAAAAAACCAGATTAAAGAATCTTGAGTTCCATCTCCAAAGAATGGTTCTACTTGAAGGACTTGAGTATTGTTATTGGCTTTTAAGTAATCAAGTACAGATTGAGCAGTTGCTATAGTATTTATAATAATAGGTTCTTGGAATAATAAATTTAAATTTAAATCTGCATTATTAAATAATTAATTAATAAGAGATTGTTAGGGATGATATTAAAAGTATTTAAAATATGTTCAGATAAATTAGAACTTGTATCTTTGAATAAATTATTTTTAATTGATTGAGTAGTAAAAGGAATATTAAGAAAAGATGAGTATTTGATAATTTCTATATCTGCAGAGTCAAAAACAAAATTATAATAAATATTAAATGCTTAAAAAGTTTCTTCAATAATTCTATCTAAATAGATAGGTTCAGAGTATTTGATAAATAAGATTAATCATTCTACTGTACTGATATAAAGAAAAAAACTAATAGTTTGTTGAACAAAGTAATGATAGGTTCTAAATAAATATTGGATAACAGGAAAGGTAATATAAAACCAATTTCAAAAGTGATTAAAAGAGATATTATAATTTCCGATAGGAGAAAGCAAACAGTACAAGATTTGTCTGGTTATCTTTGCTGAAAAGTTTTCTTATTTAATTTTAGATTGTTTAAGTACAATTGATCATGCAAATAGTCAATATTCACAAGCATTTAATAATTTATCATGAATTTTTTTTTTAACTGCTAAAGTGAGACCATATTCTAGTTCGCATTTTTTATTAATAGATAGGTCATTACATTGTTATCAATACCGGCAAGTCTGTCACCGCTTGCGAACTAGGCTTGCCGTTGACTTTAGTTTGGGGTCGTCTCGCTTGCAATACCAAAGGTACTTGTTAATGCAATAATTCTCTGACTTTCCTTCTTTCCACTTGTTCCTCTGGCACAATTCTCCACCAATAGACTCAATATTGGCTACTACAGGATCCTTTAGGTGACAAGTATTTTATTAAGATAAGTTTATCAATTATCGTTCTGCAAGTTACAGGTTTATTACAAGGCAATTAACTCTCTTTTATTACTACTCTAATCCTATTTCTATTTATATTAGCTGCGACACGTCCACCAATCTATCGTCACGTCATGCAAATCTCCAACAGACTTCCTAAACTTTTCTCTCCACATTGATACATGAACTGATGCATCGTGTTGCGTCACATGACCCGCGCCGATCCCATTCCTATACCTGATCCTACTGTTAACACTCCCCCATGCCTATCTTGTACGCTCTGTGAACAAATTCTAAGTCCAATCCTTTGGTTCGCGGTTTCTAAAGCATGATGGGTCCTCCAAACAATAGTCAGATGAGATATGAGCTGTGGTGGTCTGGCGATAGCTTGATCATCATGTCCATCATCATTATTGCTCGTCATATCTTGATATTCCGCAACAATTAGATCTTCAATGTCGAATTCCTTATGGTAAGTATCGTCATTCTATGTTTTCATCCATGCTAACTTACACCCAATACAAATTGTTGTGGTTCTGCGGTTCCATCTATGGTTGTCTTTTCTGATCCCTTGCTTCGAGTTATATAACTTTTTGGGACCCCGAAGTACTTCCACCTGTTGGTTTGCTCGCTATACACTTCTCCGTATTTGTTCCATCCTGATGACATCGTAGACCATTAGATCTATGCCTCCGGTCAGTGTAGTATCTTTCCATTTAGATTTCGTGGCAATGGTACTCAAGTAACATATCATAACTTTTTCTTTGATCTTCTGCCAGCATAGAGATATCAGTCATGGGTGCATCACGGATGAGTTGCAACATATAACTGTTGTATCCTTCCATGTGCCTAAATGTTCTGCTCTTGTGATTATCAGCCTTCTGTCTCTCAACGTCTTTGTGCCGTCTATGGTTTCAGGATCGATTATGGCGTCCGGATTGATGTTGATGGTGCATCGCACTCCCTTGATGCACTCAGATCTCTAGATGGTCCTCTTGGTCGCATCTGTATGCTCGACCAGGAGTTCTTTTACTAGATTGTTTATCCAAACCATCTACCTAATTGTTATTATAGTGTGGAGTGCCAATTTCGCAAGAGTTTCAGCGCACGTTGTCACTAGCTTCTTTTTAAGCTCTCAGCAAAGTGTATTTATCAGACGTCTCCACGATGCTGGGATGCTGTGCAGCCTGAACGTCTCATCACCCGGTGCGTGCATTCCCCAAGTAATTATCATTTCTTTTATCTTGATCCGATTTCCATCACATGGTTTTGATAATGCTTTTACTAGTGTGGCAGCTCGTTTTTTTACCAATGCTTCTTCCATATGTTTAGCTTGATCATCCGGCAGCATTGATAGTTCTCCCTGTCGTGCTAGCCATTTAACAGAATCTGAATTGTTGGAATATGGTTTAGTGTCAGGTTCATTACAAATTCTCGTGGTGAGATTGTCATTTTTCCCATCCATCGTTTCTGGTCTCGTATTGTAGGGTGTGGACTGTTCCTTTGTTACCATATTGTCTTGTTCTTTTGAGACCGCTTTTACCAATTCCCGTTGTCCTTCCGATTCACCTTCAACCTTATCCTCAGTTTTGTTGACCTTGTCGAAACCCTCTTCGGTCACCACCAACGTTTCTTTCGTTTGGGAGGAATGCGCTGCAGGGCCTGGAGTTTCCGGTCGTGTGTTATTATCGGAGTTGGAGTTGTTATTCATTTCTTGTGCCACTTCCTCTTTATCATCTTCGAAAGATATCAACTATATTTTTTCGTCTTCACCATTCTTTTCTTTATTATTCGATCTTTCGTTCCACCAAGTGTTTCTGTCAGATTCCTTATTAGCGATCTCGTCAGCGGGTACCTTAGTTTCATCATTCGAGATTTGGATCTTCGCTGAGTACCTCTTAGCGGTTTCCTTCCCATTGCTACTAACGATGTTTGTCTTCTCTTCAGGTGCAAGCATCGCATCATACTCCTCCTCATACTTACGATAATTCAGATCTTCTCTTTCGGTCAACACCACTTCCAGTTTCTTCACAGTGAAGGCGACATATTGGTAATATACTTCATTCATTTCCTGCATTTGCTTTTTTAATTCTCGAACATGATCTTCTAACTCTCTTTCGGCCTTGGCGTCAGTTTCGGCTTTCATCTTTCTCTCTTTCTCAATTCTTTTTGCTGCCTTGGTTGCCTTTCTTTCTGCGTCAGCTTTGACATCTATTGCCGCTTTGATTGCCTCCCTCGGGTCGGTCACGTTTGCAACAGCGGATAGAGACAATACGTCCTTCTGTAATCCAGTTGCAAGCAGCCATGCCGCCGGTTTCTTATGGTAGTCGCCCTTGGAGTATATCTTCTCGAGTAACCTCGCAAACCTACAGGCATACTTTATTACCTTTTTGCCGGCTTCTTGCCATTGGCGCCGTTGCTCGAGCATCACGAAGTGCTGCACAAATGTTGGCACGAAACTTCCTTTGCGGTCATATTCGTCGTTCCAACAGGTAAAACGGCTCCAGTTTTCCTTGTACCATTCTAGTGTGTCTCCTTTTAAATACTCACCTATCCCTTCCTGCTTCTCATCGTCTGTCCATCCGTTTCGTTCAATGACTTCGTTATAGAGCCTTATCCAAGAACATGGGTCTTCTACTTCATCTCTGAACTTCCAGATTCTTGTCTTTTGCATCCTCTTTTCTTTTGACTTGGCTCCCCATTTTCGTCTTGTACATACGTCCACCAGTCTTCTTGGGGCATCTTGTTGTGAGAAAGGGGGGAACCAGCTTCATCATCTGTTGTGTCATATATGATTTCGATCATAACGCCATTTATTATTAATCGGGGTGTCACGTGTCGCAGATGGTCTTCCTAGACGATTCCAAAGAAGGTATCGTCTTGTTTTGGCGAATATTGATTAATTAAAAATTCCTATTTTTGGCATTTGCACAAAAATATTGGGGGGTTCAACATTGTTGCTTGTATAATCTACTTGGGTCCTCCACCAATTGTTATCAACGCTGGCAAGTTTGTCACCACTTCGGAACTAGGCTTGCCATTGACTTTAGTTTGGGTCGTCTCGCTTGCAATACCAAAGGTACTTGTTGATGCGATAATTCTCTGACTTTCCTTCTTTCCACTTGTTCCTTTGGCCCAATTCTTCATCAATAGACTCAATATTGGCTACCACAGGATCCTTTAGGGGACAAGTATTTTATTAAGGTAAGTTTATTAATTATCATTCTGCAAGTTACAGGTTTATTA